GGGGGCAGTGGAGGCTGCGGACTGACACCTAGGAACACAAAAGATTTTTTTCCTGAGAAGACAAGCCCAAGATTCCCTAAGGCATTCCCTGGAAGGTTTAACCGGAAACGAATTCTGGCGCCTGGAAACTTTCCGAGGCTGGGGTGGCCCGGGATGGCTCCCTTTGGGCGAGGCTCCAGCTAAGGTTAAAGCCAGGCACCAGGCAGAGTCGGGGAGGCTGGAGATAAGGAAGAAGCTGTTCGGGCCCACCTCAAACCTGGTCACTCCCAAACTTCCCTTTGTCTGCCCCTAGTTTTCTCGCGTTCAGACCTACTAGGTCCCTGGGCTGAGCAACTCCTGGGATGAGCTTGGAAACGGGGGAGGGGTCAAAGCGGAGTGCCCGCCAAAAGCGAGTGCATGCCTCATTGCTGGGCCTGGGGTCCCCTGAGATCTGTCCACTAGGGCGGGAGTCGGATTCTATTCCTTGATCAGTCAGCAGCGCAGAGGCCGGTTTCCGCCTCCGAGCTGAGGCCCGAGAACGCGGCCTCCGTGGCGTCCAGCGGCCGCCGCGGGCCAGGCCGGAGCTTTGGTCGCCACCGCGGCCTAAAGCCCTTAGCCCCCGACCGCTGTGATTCTGGGAATTTCAATACCGCTGTGGGCTGCGCGCCCTAATCCCTCAAAACGGGAGCCTGGTTACTGCGATTCGGGTTTGATTTCGGAAAATTGCACCATAAAAGTGAACATCTCGCTTCCTCTCCCCACCCGAGGTGGTACGAGGACCCCTGCCTGAAGGAATCTGGCGGGTGAGAACCAGAGAGTGGAAGAAGGAGCAGTGAAAGGAAGGATCGCTAAGGACTGAAAGTGTCACTATGGAAACTTCTCGAAGCGCTCTCCCAAAGTTCCTGGGGCCACCTCTGGGCTCCTCTCCCACTGCACTCTGTGCTTAGGGCGCTGGCAAGCTCTGCCCACCAGTAGCCGCTCCCCAGGACCCCTGAAGCGTCCCCCCTGCAGCAGAGCCCGCCATTTCTAATGAGTTCATCATATCCGAAACCAGAAGCAGCGTCGCTGTCCGTAATTCCAGGGTTTGATTCCTCAAGATAGGGGCGACTTCGTCTCCTCTTGGAAGCCGCTTCCAAGTCATAAGCCTAATCAGAGGGCACTTTTCTAGCTCTTTCCCGACACCTACAGTGGCCGGGAGTCTAGTGTTGCGGGTTGGGAAAAGGCCCTGGCAGAGCTGAACCCCGCCTCTGTCCGGGACCAGGGTCGAACGTGACCCGGCCCGGTGCGGCGGCCCGGGCGAGGGGCAGAGGGCTGGGACGCGGGGAGGGGCCGGCCAGCTGACCCGGTATTACCTACCCCTGCTCCCGCCCCGTCCCAGGGCCTCTCGCTGTCCCTCCCAGCTCCAGCCCAAGAGGTGGGAAGGGACAGTGGTGCCCTGACTCCCGCCCCTACCCCGTCCCGCCCCGCGCACGCACAGTATCCGCGGGGGTGGGCGGCCTCCCCTGTAAGGCGCCCAGGCGATTGGCGACTTCGGAAGGAGACCAGAGGAAAAGTCGAATAAGAGGCCGCGACGTCAGACCAGAGGTTTGGGAAGGGGTGGGGGAGGGCGGGGACGGACACCCTGACACAGACACGGACGCACACACCCCCGTCCAGCACCCCAAGTGCCCACCACTCCAAGTCACCTCCGCACCAGACGCGGAGGCCCGGAAAGGGGTGGGGAGGGCTTCAGAGTAGAGAAAGGGGGTAAAAGAGATCAAAGCTAGAGAAGAAAGAGAGGAGAGATCCGAGAGGGGG